ATACTAAATTTACATGGGAAAAGTGTGACGTCATATACTGAACCTGCTGTGGTCCTTAGAATGGATGAAAGTCCTCCGTAATGAGTGTCTTTATCCATGTGGTGTATGGTGTTGAGCCCTATACTGCACCTGCTTTGGTCCTTAGAATGGATGAAAGTCCTCCGTAATGAATGTCTTCATCCATGTGGTGTATGGTGCTTGGTTTATACTAAATCTTCTTACATCCGTCTGGTGGAGACATTTCAAGCTAACTAGTGTGTATCTTTTGCTGTTGTTTTTGTAATGTATGAAATGTTTCAGCTCTATACATAATCCTAAAAGGTTCTTGTAATAGATTAAACAAGTCTTTCTTGTTTCTTTTGGTAGAAAATTCTTTCGAATTTCATTTTTTAACTAAAAGGAATATTACAATGAGTTTCATCCTAAAAGGATAAAGCATGATTAAAAACAAATAATCCATAGGTGACAGAAAATTTTATTATTTATGTCATAAGATGAATTACATGGTTTAAGTCATGGGTAAAATTCAAACGCACCTTTCTACTTGTTCGACATAATATATATATATATATCACCCACGTACTCTTAAAGACAATGAAAATCCTGCATACAGATCTCAACTATCAATTATATCACGGATCTCTTTCATTTAACAGTTCTTAAAATTATAAAACTAAATTGTTGTGAGAATTTATTTGAATAACAGGGAACAAAAAGAGGAAAAAATTACTTGTAATAAAGATAATTAAAAAATTACCATAAAACAAATCTATATGAGATAATATTAAACTCTATTCCATGGGTGTGCAAAATTTGAAATGTTCTATCTAGTCAAAACTGTAATAGACCTCCAAGCCTTGTGGGCTGGGTTCAAATCCGTGCAATACCACAAAATATTCCCTGCACTTTAAGCTGTGGGTAACAGGGATGCTGCTGTCTAGCTACCTTCCCTCTGGTTAGTAGCTCTCACAGAAGCCCAAACTCAAAATTTTGTAGTTTCAACCATCAGGTTAGTGGATTTTTTACATCCCCGCTAATCCGCTTTAATGCCATAAAAACAATAAGGCAAAAACAGTAACCTGTACCATCTTCTCTAAAGAAAATTAAATATACATCTTGTATAAATGTGTAAAATATCATCAAAATTAGGAGCAAATTAACCAGGAAAAACAATGATTTAATGGTCTGAAAAACATCCTCATTTTGTACAAGTAAAACAAAAAACATTTATACATTACACATTAAATCATAAATATCTGTACTCTTCTAATCTGTAAAATAATCTGACATGCTACAGATCTGTTTCATTTCATTCAATATTATACTTTTGTTAGAAAACATTTAAAATGAATGAGGTATCCAAAAAGATTTTTTATAAACATGAGATTTTATGTAGATCTAAACACAGTGACAAATTCTGTAGGGTTGAGAGAAAACATTGCAAGAGCAATACAAACAAAACAGACTATATCCTCTCTCTCTAGGAACTTCCATTACATTTGCTGATTGTACTCACTAGAATGTATTACAAGTTCTTTTTGCAATACCAAGTGGTATACTGCTTCTGTGTTGGAAACTGGTACAAATTCCATTATTTTTTGTACTTTTTTGTGTGGGTACCATGAACTTAGAGAAAACTCCATACACTGTAACTCTGGATCCTGTACATCTATAATAAGGATTTCACCACTGATTTTGTTATCATGGAAATGCCCAGTCTTCAAGAATGTACTAACTTCTATGTGCAAATTCATAAATTCACCATTATATAAAATCATATATATTAAACCATGTGTAATAATTTAAAATAGGCTTAGGGCACGTTAAAATATATTCAAATATTCAGAATTTTTTAAGGCAACTACACCTATATCTGCAAAAAAAAAAAGTCAAAATTAAAAACTCCAAAAATTTAAGCAGCTTTGAAGTCTCTATTTCTTCCAAGAATTGAGCTTTAACTTTCATTTTAATCTTATAATCGCTATCTAGTGATCCATGCTGACATTTTATTCCTTGGAATAGAATGATTTAACGATCTATTCTAAACATAATTTGTTCTTAAATCTTTAGCTCAATGGATTGCCTGATTTAACTTTTGAAAAAATCCAAGCTTACTCTCAAATATTGTTCGCTACATCATTTAACTCATGTTAAAGTTCAAATGTGACCCAGAAAAATAAGTTTTGTTCATGAAAGTCTGGACAAATTATGTAAAAATTACAATATAAATACCACAAAACAATATAAATTTCCAGAAAAAAAAACTGATATGACTAATTTTAGAAAACAATAAGCATCTGAATATTTTCTGAGTATTTCTTATTAGTTAAAATACCTCAAGAAAACTGAAAGATCTTTTAAATAAAATTTTTCTTTGTGTAATGTTCTCAAGTTTTTGAAAAACTAAAGAAATTACAGTGAATATGGCAATAATAAAACACACTAAATACTAAAATATAATGGTGAAAACCTGATAAATCTCTTTAACAAATGCTTCCTTTAGTGACAATTTTTGTTAACGGCCATCATCTTAAATATTACTTCCATATTGATTAATTACAGCCCTTTAACCAAACATATAAATCACTCAGGGCATCGATATATCTATAACAGAGTGTATGTCAATTATTCTTTACACCCTAGCTTCCACAATTCAATCAATCAAGGTTTAACGGTGTTTTCATAATCATAATAACAATAGATTATTCTCTGTGAAGTGATTTAACATATTTGTTATTACTTACTACAAATATATATATTTTACACACATTTTTACATGTTAACTATTGATTATTCTACTAATACTCACAATTTGCTTATCTCATAAAGCACACTCTCAAACCTGTAAAAAAAAAAAAAAAGATTTTTCTGTGTTGAATGGCCCCCAGTGACTCAGTATTAAGTCTGTGGGCTTTTCACACTAAAATTGGATTTAAATATTCCCTGTGGAAACAGCACAAATAGCCCATTGCATTGCTCTGTGCTTAACAATAATCTTGTCTAAGTAACAATGTAACAAACACAAACCTAATATTATTACCCGTGTATATACAAACTGTCAAATAAAAAGTACTTCAGGTTAATATACACATTTCTTTCCAATTACAATATGGAACAAAGAAGTGTTTTTAATTTCATTAAAACTAAAATCTTTTAGAATTATTAATTTTCTGTAGATTCACTGTTTTCATAAACAAACTGCTTATAAAAAGTTATTTATAGTGAGAAAAGTTAAATCAGTCACCATCTAGATATTCTCCAGATCATTATCCGAAGCATTTATAGAGTGTAAGAGTTGCTTTTTAGCTTGAAAATAGTTTTCAATCTCTTCCAAAGTTTTGCCTTTGGTTTCTGGTACCACAGTGGCGACAAACACACAACTCAAAAGGCATAGGCTACCAAAGATCCAGTAGGCTCCATACTCATGAACAAGTTCTATCATAAAATGAAACTCCTTGGTAACTAAAAACACAAAGGTCCAATTAACAAAAGTTGCAATGCCACTTGACCAACCTCTAACTTTAACAGAGAAAAGCTCACCCATCATGAGCCACGGAATTGGACCATATCCAATGGAAAATGCTGCTATATACACAATCATACTTGTCAGAGGAAGCCAGTTATAGGAGTTGCGAACAGTTTCATCAAGGTAGTAGTAGGTACCGAGAACAGCCAGGCTGAATGCCATTACGAACGCAGACACAAGTAACAGTATGCGTCGTCCTGCTAGATCCATTAGCAAGCTCCCGGCAAGTGTTGCAAGAAACAATACTACTCCAATGATAATTGTTTCGTCATTAGGATCCATAGCTGAACCAGTTGACTGGAATATGCTGACTGTGTAGAACATGACATTGTTGATTCCCGAAAGCTGTTGGAAGATCATCAAACCTAAGCTAAGGAATAGTGGTTTTAAAACGTGAGGAAGAAGAAGAACTCGCCAAGACAATCGCTCTGAAGTTTGCTGAGATATATTAGATTCCAATATCTGACATTCAGCTTCAGCATTAAGTGAACTGCCGTAAAGAAAATCTATGGCTTTGATTGCATCTCCTCGTTTACCATTGCTTAGTAACCACCGAGGAGTTTCAGGTACAAAAATCATCAAGATGGTCAATATGGCAGGAAAAGTCATTGAAAAAAGGGCTAGCCACTTCCATTCTATATACTTGCCAACTACATAAGTAAGTAAAATACCTAAAGTTATCATCAACTGAACACACGACCCTAGAAGACCACGAGAATCTGGAGCAGCAGTCTCAGCAATGTATACAGGTACGGCCAAAGATACTAAACCACAGGAGAAACCAGTCACGATCCTTCCAAATAATAGCAGTCCGGTACTATGTGAAAAAATCATACACAACCAACCAGCTATAAATACTACTGGGATCAGCATCAAAGTCAGCTTCCTACCAAAGTAATCAATTGCAAATCCTGAAAAAAAAAAGAAGAAAAATGTGATTTAAAGTTTTCTTCAACATAACCAATACTATTACAAAGATTACATAAATTGGAGATAGTCTTAAATAACCACTACAAGCTGAATATGAGCTGTATGCAAAGTTTGCATTTATAACAAAACTATTACTGAAAAAGACTGAGATAGACCTGAATATGAAACACTTTTCTTTTAAAGTTCTTTAAAACATGCCTCACACAATCACTAACTTTAATCATTACTTTTAAAACATGCATGTACGTGACTGTAAGTTTATTTTGGGGGAATGAAAGCATCAATCTAAGGACCAGTGCATTCTAAAATATGTTTCATACATAACTCCTTCTTTTCGAATATATTATTTTTGACTCTTGACTTGAAGGTTCTTCAGGTTTGTGTACGTTTTATCTTTTGTTTTTTAATTAATTTAATAACTGAATATTATACAGAGTGTTCATCAAGTCTGTGTACTTGAAAACCATAAAAACAAGTAACAACATTTTGTGCTTTTCAAATAAAAGTTTTCAATACCCATATCAGCCGTTTCTAATATATCTATATCTATATAGATACATCAAGTGGGTTCCTTAGGGTTAAACAGTTTTTAGTCAAGATACAGTGTTCATAAAAATATAATTCATGAGGTTTATTATAATCCAATTCAATGTTCTAAGTTTCAACATAACCACCACCTTCAGTGGTAAACTTTTCAAGTTGATTCTCTAAGTTTTCAAAAACACATTCTCCAGCCGCTACAGCCCCGTCATTGATTCGTGGCCTTCCGGATCACGGTTTGTCATTAATGACCCCGTTTCTTAAAACTTTTTCATCCAATTGTTAATTTAGCTACAGTTTAGTGCATCTTTGTTGAAATAAGTTCTAAATTTTTTCCTCACTGCTATTATTGATTTCAATTCAGTAAACTATTTCTTCCATTGTCACCATATTTGTTAGTTAGGGATCTGACATAAAAAATATTGCATTGTAATAAAACACCATATTTGTTAGTTAGGGATCTGACATAAAATATTGCATTGTAGTAAAACTTCGGGAATTATTCCCTTATGAACTGTTTACAGTTTGTTTCTATCATGTGTACATTAAAAGTTATTAGACTTTATGAACACCCTGTATCTTGAGTAAAAACTGTTTAACCAAAAATTCATATTTTTTAACACTTACCCATTAATGTGAAGGATGCAATTGTTTTTTTTGGAACCATTTTTTAAATTTTAACAGAACAAAATAGTGGTGTGTCTATGCAAGTAGAAGGTGAGTCTATAAGTGAGGAGAGCAGTATGTACATGTACGTGGAAAGCTCAGATAGGGGCTAATAACAAATTTTATGATTTTTTATATTAATTGTGTCATGTACCACCAGTGGTACGTGTACCACAGTTTGAGAATCCCCATTCTAGAGGTTAGGCAAACCGTATGATAGACAACAATATTTTTATTCTTCACATGAACATCATCTTACACTCCAACTTGTCAGAGTCTGAATCAGATTAACATTTTCAATTCACAGACACAGCTTGAGTACAAATACTTTTATAACACATGTGATATTTTGTGTACCACAGACTTGTACATTTAATCAAAGCCTTGTCATACTTCATATAGTTACACATATTAACTTCAGAATTATAGGCAGCGTTCCTTCTCCAATATGTGATTGGTCCTTGTCATACTTCATATAGATACACATATTAACTTCAGAATTATAGGCAGCATTCCTTCTCCAATATGTGATTGGTCCTTGTCATACTTCATATAGTTACACATATTAACTTCAGAATTATAGGCAGCGATCCTTCTCCAATATGTGATTGGTCCTTTGGACTGACCCTGTGCAAATTTGATTTATATTATAATATAATAAATAGAGTTTAAAAGCCTGTAGTTACTGAAGTGGTTTTATCTTCTTAAAGCTTTGTGATTAAAATCCACAGGAAGCTGAATCCATTTATTTAAATGGTAAATAAAAAATCTGAAAGCATTCTTTTATAATACTGCTATTAGTGAATGTTAGAGATGCCAGAAAATGTGCATTTTATCTGCCCTTGAATAAGGCAGTGTCCTTCTGCTTTTGTAGTAATCTATCTCTGATTCTGGATTTTTGCAAGTTTATCACCTTTTAAATTTTTTTTTTCCTTTTCATTATTTAATGAAACTATTTCGGTTTGGTTTGTTAGACAGGTATATGGATGTGGTTATTTTAAATGGTGACCTCAACACGATGAACATATTTCTCACCAAGTTCCTTCTTACAACCGGAACAGAGCCTAGAAATGCCCCAAGAACAACACTCAATCTACTGAACAAACTTCCTTTTAATCACCAACTTTTGCTTTATACTAACAATCCACTTTTTAATATTTTCCATTTATTGAACTTACTAATTAACTTTTTTATGTGGCACCTTATCAAAATCTAAATAACACCGACATGGCTTTGTTCATACAAATAAATAATAAAACAAACAACATGATGGCAGAATAAATTTATTGTGCCAAAACAACTGTTTTTTAAACCGATGTTAAGATTTTTTTTAAATTACTTACTTGCTTCTCAGACGTTTTTCTAAATGACCTCTAATAACAGATTCTAACATCTTCCAAACAGCTGGAGCCACACTATTATGCAGCACTCAAAATGTGAAAAACAAGTAAGTGTGTAAAATTTCACATTCCAGAGACACCTCCAAGAGTTAGACTGCACTCCTTAAAATTCAACCCTTTCCAACCCAGTTTATAGACTTGCTACATCTTAGTTTGCACTCTGTTAATTGTTTTACATTCTGCATTGGGAGACACAGTTACTCCTGCGATATGTGGCAAACCCAGTGCAACCAGAAAAACACACCAACTGGATCAAAATTAGATGTGATGGTTTTTGAGTGCAATCACACCTAAAAGATAAAGCAATGAATACTGCTATAACCTTAGTCTTCCCTCAAATCACATGAAATACTGCTATAATCTTAGTCTTCCCTCAAAGCACATCAAATACTGCTATAACCCTGGTCTTCCCTCAAAGCACATCAAATACTGCTATAACCTTAGTCTTCCCTCAAAACACATCAAATACTGCTATAATCTTGGTCTTCCCTCAAAGTACATCAAATACTACTATAACCTTGGTCTTCCCTTCAAACATATCAAATACTGCTATAACCTTGGTCTTCCCTCAAAGCACATCAAATACTGCTATAACCTTAGTCTTCCCTCAAAACACATCAAATACTGCTATAACCTTAGTCTTCCCTCAAAACACATCAAATACTGCTATAACCTTAGTCTTCCCTCAAAACACATCAAATACTGCTATAACCTTAGTCTTCCCTCAAATCACATCAAAGAGGTAGGTGCATGGGTGAGAAAATTTCTGTTCATTTGAGGCATCAAGAAAAATGTTTTGAGAAGGTCACTTGGAGTTTAATACATTCTTTTGGGGTCATAAGCAGATGTCAAGTGTTGGATAACAGGCTTGCAACTGTGACTTTAACAATCATTCAGAAGAGGATATGGTCAGTAATGTAACTGTGTAACACTGCTTAAGTGCTAGAGTTAATGATATTATTATCCTGATGGTTTATTGAAACCAGGTGTAGTTATTAAAGAACTACACAAAAGAACTTTGATGAAAGATGACTGGTTTTCTAGTATGAATGTTAAATATTTGTCTTGGTTCGATCAAATTACTTGAAAAGGATTATAATCCTATATGTATAGATTCCAAGTTCCAGTGAAAGTCAGTTCCAAAACAGTGAAATTAAACTTGTAATAAAGAAACAAATGCTTAGTTAATGAGGACATACAACTTATCATAAAATAAAGAATACTGAGATTTATAAAGATAAAAAGCAGTTAAAAAATCTGTTGATGAAGTTCCAAGTGTTAAATTTGACTTGAAGTGTTTTTATGCTTATGCTAACTACAAAAAACAACAACAATAATAATAACAGACATTTATGGAATTTGAAGGAACTTTTATTATGGAAGACAGGAACATAGATAAAGTGAAAAAAAATTTCAAGTGTCTTTATTAGTGAAGGCAGGTAAGAGGTTCCTAATGTGACCTATTTATTCAAAGATGGAACCTATTTTTTTTTCCTTATATATATATTGAAAAGTGGCTGTTTAAGGAAAGTTTGAAGACACTTTTGGTTGATAATGACAGGTAAAGAATATCCAAGGGCAGTTCTCATATAAATTAAACTAAAGAATGATATAAGATCAGGAATGAAAAAGAAAGCATTAAACTTTTGTTGGATAAGTGTACAACATACATGAAAGTGTTTTTTTTTTTGAGTTAAGGATGACCTCAATGGGCTGATTGGTCACTTTGCCTCTTTTATAGTATTATGCAACCATCAGAAGCATTTCTAATGTCCACTGAATAGTTTATAAGATAATGAATAAAGCACACACCATCTTCTTAATATGTTTCATTAAAATTTTAGGATAAAGTGTGTTAGGTCCAGAAATTTTACTTAAAAAACGAATCTTTAATATTTGAAAAACAATTAAAGTTATTTAACAGCCAAAACCTAAAAACCATTCAAGTCACATGTCTTTAAGTTTTGTGTCAACTCTTTCACAAAACCTCTAAGCATTAATAATACATTGGTACGCTCTATGTAAATGTCCAGAATTATTATTAACTAGTAGAAACACCGCCCTATGTGCAGCTGTTTGTGCTAGTAATTACTAATCATAGTATTCATACCTCATTGAAAAAAATTTATAAAAAGTGAACATTTTCTAAAAAATGATTTTTCTCGGAAGTACTGCACGGGAAAAGTGTTTGGATTGTGCTGATATAAACTGTAATGTTTTTATATATTAAAAGTGGTACCCTTTATTGAAAAAATAAAATGTTTTAAGAACTCAATTTTTTAGTACTATATTTACAAATTACATCAATAAAGATGTAATCAAGCCCTCACATACAGTGTACAGTCCTAGAGAAAGTTGTTTTCTTGTTGTAAGGAGAGTACTTTTATTTAAAATTGTGTTCTGTTATAAAGAAATTGTTGTTGCACATACCACATTTATTTTTCTAATTGTCTGAATCTTGAATACCCAGTGTGAAAATTTTTATGGATTTTTGGTTTCTGGTGCCATTCAATAGATGGCACAGGAGTTTTGTTTATATATATAGATACTGACATACAAGATATAGTATGATAATACTTTTTACATATATATATAAAATTGTATTTATGACACCAAAGAATGGACTTAAGATATAAACCACAAGTCAATATAAAGTCACCACTTATTCTGAATCTCATGCTCGGAGAAACTGGAATAAATGCATATGACAATACGTTTGTTTTGACGAATGACCCTCTATCATTAAAGAAATTAAATCATACTGCTTCGAACTTGAAACTTTTTTTTTGGACCTTCTTTAATGCAATATTTTCCATTTATTGACAAAAAAGACATACGCAAACGAAAAATACAATGAAATAAACTCTTTACTAACCAAAGTTGGTTCTCCTGACCAAATGACAGTCTTGTGAGTAATATTTTAATAAGCTGTAATCTGTAGCTGTGTGTGTGTAACATTATGAAAAGAACTCCCGGTCAACTTAACAGACCTGAAATAAACTTTTAATTTGTGACATTGTTGTAACTCAAAATTCATTCCGAATTTAATCATGTATTCCTATTACATATATATACAATTGATAAAAAAATATGCAATTTATCTTACCAGCAATAGGTCCTCCAATTAATGCTCCTATAGCTAACAGACTTCCAAACCAGGGAATATCTGCATCACTGAGGTGTACATTGCTGTTGACTGACTGCAAACTTGGTATAGCAGGAGAAGAATATCCCAAGCCAGTTCCCATAGAAATTGAGCCAAACAATGCTGCTACTGCTGCTAGGTAGAACTTTCGAAATTTTCTATTGTCTGTCTGGGTCACGAGACTAATTTCGTTACTTTCCATTTTATTTTTTGTGGAAACTAGACAAACAGTTCAAAAGAAAAATGGTAATATACTGAAGGAAACTAATTCTGATGACTTGCAACAGGGAAGATAAAATCTAATTGGTTTACTAAAGAAAAAGGAGATATATGGTGCAAGTCGAAGTTTAAATTGACAGATAGGTTGAAAGACTTATAGAATTAGAAAAGCTAGGGATTTGGAATAAAATTGGGAAATCTGAAGGGACTGATAATAAACATGTTCCTGATAATATTAAAATAACAGCAAGTATTTTTTTAACTCATGTTAAAAGTAAGCAAAATGTTAAAATGGTGATTAGATGCTTAAGGTTGCTCATGACAAAGTTTTTATTGTGGACTATGAAATGGCTAAGCTTTTTCAAATTTTTTTCTCTTCTGTTTTTATATTAGAAAATATTATTAATATTCCTTCCCCCGAGCTTCTATGGGATATACTAGAATTCATCCGAATCCATTAGACATTAATCCCTTGCTAGTGATTATAAATAGTTAAAACATCAAGATCTGAGTAGGTTTTCTCCAGTGTTTTAAAGATGGTCAAAAATTAAATATGCAAGGCTCTTTCCTTCTTTTCCGATAGGTCAATAAATTAAAGATTATTTGCAAAGTCATTTAACAAAGTTTATAATTTTGTTGGATGGTCCACATTACTTCACTGGAGGAAAATATTCCCTTACTATTCTTTTGACAATCTTTGAAGATGTTACTGCTTATTGTAGATGAGGGTATGGGTGTGGATTTGTTGTAGCTGGATTTTCAAAAAGTATTTGACACTTTTTGATTTACATCAGTAACACAGATGAAGAGATGGTTAACAAAAACTTAAATTTGCTGATAACATTAAGTTCTTGGATGTAACTGACTATGGGGAGAATGCCCGAGATTATAATTTAATTTATGGGTCACTGGTTAGGCCTCACTGGAAATATTTTGTTCATTCTTCTAGGACTTATTTTACTTTTAGGCTGAATTGTGGAAAAAAATAGTTTAGAAACAAGCTACTAGTACTACTCAGCACTAGGAAAGTAATTGTGAATATGATAGGACTAGGGAGCACAAATATAAAGAGAACGAGTCATCTTCAGCTTAGATAATTATATTTTTCTAATACTAACAGGGTAGTTCACTAGTTGGTTGTAAAATAGGTTTGCCTTCACTCGGATGTGGCAGAACTTGGAAGCACTCAAGCAGTAGATTTGAGGTAAGGCTTCATAAATTAAATATTTTGAACCATAAGGGCTGGCCGTGAGCTTTTTTGTTTTTAGTGGTTTAGATGACTAGATGGGACAGCTTAGATGGGCTAACTGGTCCGTAGTTGTCCTTAAATATTATGTTAAATTGTGTAATACAACTGTTACCACTAGTATTAGAATAAGGTAGCAGTACTAGTACAGCTGATATTGATAAGTTATCATCCCTAGTACTAGTAGAACTAAGAGTAAGATGTTATTATTAATATAGTGACTTGAACAATTTAGTACTAAAATAGTACAACTAGTACTTGGTCGTAATTGGCAATTTAACTTATTTAAACGTTGAAATTACTTACCCAACTTGAAGTCGGTCTAATAAAATATATCAAATGCAAAATAACAGGTCCACCTTCTGATAAGGCTCTACAGCATTCACTAGGCCTACAATGATAGTGAACTGAGTGAAGTTGGTTTATCTTTCACGAACCAGTTTCTAATTGTGAATAATACAACCAGAGAAGTGACGAATAACAACATATATATTGAACGTTTCGGATTATACACATTCTACCTTCAGTAAATTCCTCGAGTAAACACAAAATTATAATTACAAATAATCATTTGAATGTTATTTAAATGCTTGTGTACTACTATAAACGTTTATAAAGGCAATATTAAGACGCATAGGTCTTTCTATTACAACACAAAAATCCGGGGTTCGATTCCTCGCGGTATACATATCAGATAGCGGAATGTGGCTTTGCTCTAAAAGCAAACGAACAAGACTCAAAGTGGAATGTCATTGTAAAACCAGTGAGTGAACTTGGATATAATATAGACCCACACTAAATTAATTAGTAAAAGTATGTACAGCTAGTAAGAAAAAATTAAAACAAGCTTAACTAAGAAGTTGAGTTGTTACTCAAGCTTGGGAGAATTTGGCAAATAAGTAGAATCTCTTTAATGAGGAGTTCCAAGTCTGTGCAGTCCCTAGTTAAAATTTTAAAACTCAGTTGAGGAGACTTTGTGTCCAGTAGTTTGACTGTATGTGGATAGAAGAGGTCCAGGGAGATGACAAAGAATGACTGGTTCTATTGTCAGTTTAGTTAACTTTACAGCTAATTACTAAATGATTCATGAACGAAGCGGGGTCGGAATGGAATATTTTCCAAGAAAACAAAAAAGTGTTTTATTTCATATTGTTACGTCTCCGTTTGTTAATTAACTTCCCGTAACTTCGTTCCGACGAAACTTT